TTTTTGAAAAAACATTATGAAACTCTTACACTTTGACATACGACAACTGTACACATCTTTTTTTTTTTAAGAAACATAGAATTTATGAATGAAATAATAAAAAGTAGAATAGAGTTAGACGCGTAGAGACGAATGATTACCGGATAAGGTTCTCACCATATCAGCCGACGAGATAGGAAACCGCTAACGCTGCTCCTTGAATGCACTTTCGGGATCTACCTTCATCAAATAATCTTCATCTCTTAGAATCGTGTATCCTGTATGAATAACCGATACAGTGCGACTAAGGAACGGTGCATAATAGCTGATATTTAATATCGTGGATACGTTGATCCTGTTTGTCACTCTACACTTGCGTTTACATTCGGCTCTGCAGCCATAACGTTATCTTTTAGCGATAATTTCAGGACGGTATGTGGCTTTGACGGTATAATTAATAGATTTGACAAATAGATTTATTCGCAGATCGAATGTAAAAATCAAATGTTACATCCCGAATATTAATTTGATATTTTATTCTATACAAAGATATATATATATATATATATATATATATATATATATGTTTTTGTATATTATATTTTTTATATAGTTATATTAAAAGAGCTTTAAGTATATTTTTTTAATTATAAATTCTGCAAAATTGAATAAGTTTCAACGTTTTTAATTCGAGTGAGCTGAATCCAATATTCAAATATCTATCTTCGTAGATCTTAAATTTACACTGTGTAAATCTAACAAAATGTAAAAACTTGAAACGTCGCGAATTTTGTTTTCATCTTCAAAAATACTTGAGGAAGTTTGCTCATTCAAAATACAAGGGCGACAAGAAAGAGTAAAGAAAAAAAAAAGAGAGAAAATGAATGAATATTTTTTATATATTAGATTGCACGACAATTCTATTACGTTCGCGCGGATAACGTGCCCAAATTTGCTGCTAGCTCGCTCTAGCCTAACCCTAACTGGCAAAGAAGAAGACGAAGAAGAAGAAGAAGCGGGCTCACCTACCTGGCGGCTCCGCTACGCATTGTGGGGAAAAGAAGGGCAGGCGGATAGGCAGTGCGGGGCAAAAGAGAGAGGGATGAGGGAAGGGTAGAAGGGAGAGACACAAGCGCGTACTAAGGAGACCTTGAAGGCTGCTGGCCGGGTGCCCAGGTCTAGTGCTGACCCACTATAAAGGCACTTGCCATCCTGCTCGTACGTCAGGACCGCTGCCTAGCACCCTCTCCCTCGGGAGAGAGCGCCTGCTAACCTACTACTCTCCTGCCCGCGCTCTCGCTTCGTTCACCGCATATACATACACCGGCTCGGCACGACTACGAAACCCGCTTCCAGACCCGGACCACGAGAGTTTAGAGGCTCTCCGAAACGAGAGCCCCGCGCTCCATCTCGCTCCCATCTTCCCGGCCCTTCCTCGTTCCTTCTTTCACTCGTCGTCTCGCGTACTCCGTGATCCCCTGCGCCTGCTCGCTACCTTCACGATCTCGTTTTCACTCCCTCTTTTTAGCCCCCCTTCCCCCCTTTCCTTTCTCTTTCTCTCTCTCTCTCTCCCCGTACAATCCCTCCTTCTCTCGCTTCATCCCCCCATGGTCCTTCTCCGAATACCCGTCTGCCCTCTTCACGTCGTCACTACCACGTGTAATTCGCCCCTTCTGTGTAGTGTTTCTTCTTAGTTCCTCTCACTCTCTCTTTCTCTCTCCCCTCCCCCTCTCTTTCTCTCTTTCCCTCCCTCTCTCTCTTCCGCGCCGAGGATCTCTTCATCTCTCTTTTCCTTGCTTTCTCTCCCTTTTCTGTCGCTCTCTTTCATCTATTCTAACACAACACGCGCGTCAAGGAAAGAAGGAAGGAGAGAGAGAAAGAGGGTGTGCACGTTTTGGAGGGAGTAGTACCATCTAGCATAGCAACTGCTGTTTCTGCATTTCTTCGCAGCACGCCTCATGCGAGATGCCGGTATATTTTAAGCGTATAACGGGTGTCCCATCGCCGAAACGAAGCGCCAGAGCTTTCCCGGAAGTTCGCGGACGAACCAGTTCGAAGACGCTCTCGTAATGATTATTATTAATGAAGGGTACTCATATTTATTAATCCCAATTTAATTTGCTTAAATTCATACATATACAGCACATCAAAAAAGTTAAGATGAGCAATAAATTAATATTATAATTATATTTTATTTGAAAAAAACATCAGAAATATTTACTAAAACACCAGATTAATAATAACTATACGTATTTTATTTTAATCACATCTTTTTTATAATACCAGCATTACAAACGAGACGATCAATCGGCATCGCGGAAAAGCAACAATAATTTCGAAAGATGCATATATCGATGTCATGTCTTTTTTGAAAATAATACGCAATCTCTACAGAAATAAATTCAATATAAAAGAAGATCTAAAACTATACTACTTTTGACATATATCAATCACGTAAACGTAAAAGAAAGTCTTTAATTACATCGCTCCATGATACTAATGATACAATTCAAGTATGTATGTACATTACCACTGCTGTTATATATCTGCTTCCTTTCAAATAATACTAAAAATTTCTATTTTTAAGTAGAAATTTTTCTATTTTTGAATAGAAATTTTTCTGAAAAATTTTCTCTAAATTTTCCTGCTTCATTTTAGCATCTATCTGTTAGTATCATTGTTACCGCTATTGTTATACCTGTATTGTCATCAGTGCCGTCGCGTTTTGTTGTACTGAGGCGCTTCTCAAGCCCCACTTTAGTGAGTGTAATGGCAAAGTTAACCCCGCTGGTGCAATCTCGTCCCATCTTTACGGCACGTGAAATCGGGCGTAAAATGCGCGGCGTATTTAACGCGGCATAAGAATCGAATTAAAGCCTCGTCAGGACGTACCCCGGACACTGTGCCTCTCTCATTCTTTCGCCACCGAATTGGCTTTCGCATGAAACCTGTTGGCTACGCGGTCGAGCACACTCGTCTATATAGGTACACTTACGAATATTATTACTGACGGGGCAGAGCTCGCGAGGGGAGAGACCTGACACGAGACATACTAAGTAGCCATTTAGATAGCCACTCCTTTCCTCTCGTCCATCTACCGCTCTTTATCCCGTTCGCTCCCGCCGCCAAACGAATGACTGTGAAGGAGAGAGAGACACGCGAGCACGCCATTTTTCTGCTGGCTCGCGCATTCTCCTTATTTCGTTTCATATTCGTACTTCTAATTCATTCGCATTCCCAAGCCGGCTCGTCCAGCCACGACGTATGCATACTCTCATTGTGTTGAGCGTAGCATCTATAATAGAATTTACGCGAACGAGTTCACCACTTGACCCACGCTGTTCTACTACGAGAAAATCTAGTCTCGTGAAACTTCGTTTAAAACCGAGGAAGCATGTCTATTTATTCATACAAGTCGCGCTTTGATTGATTAAGAGACAACTTGTATTTATAATGTATAAAAAAATCTCGAATATTTATATGATTTCAATAGCAATTAAGTGATGCCTTACAATAATTAATAACATAGTTATATGTAGGTAATTGCCGAGATGAGAGGCGAGTACTGAGGGCGGCAAACGAAGCGGTAGTTCGGTTCTGACAGGCGTTCTCGTTTGATTAAAATTTAAATGGGCACAATCACAAGAGCTGGCACCGAAGGCACGGCACTCGAATCTCAACGGATTCGCTTAACGAGCGCTATGTCGAACGACCGTTCGGCGCGAGAATGATTCGCGAATCTATTCTTCTCGCGATTCGCGCGGCGAGGAACCGGTCATGGGAAATTAGATGGGCTTGACCGGTAAACGACACCTGGCGCGTAGGAAACGAAAGGAAATACTTGTGTGTGCCGTATATACACGCTGCTCTATAATATCTACCTTCTCTTTTCCTTTCTCTCTTTCCTTTTCTCTTTCTCTCCCTTTCTCTCTTTCTCTCTCTTCTCTAACTATCTCTCCCATTCTCCTTCTTTCTCGCGAGCTACGAAATGTGCCCGGCAGTTCACATAACCTTTTGATCCTGATTAGAATATGAGTGAGGTGTAGCTGTGGTGATAGCTTTCGGTCGGGTTTAATGCCGGCCGCGATTTTTGCGCCGTTACCGCACACGTGCACACCGGAACCCGGAAGCGACCGCGCGGAACCGGTGCGGTGTCCGGCCGCATGTGTTTTTCCATGGGAAAAGTCTCCCATCTCTCCTCGTTTCGTCTCTGGGGTCAGAGGTCGCGGCTCAAACAGGTTGTACGCTGACCCATTGATCCAATTCTGCCGTTCGACTTGAGACGCATGAGAAAATCGCAATGAAAATATCTAGTCCTAGTCTCATCAAACTTTATACGATAGTTGAAGAATTAAAGTTTAATTGAGAACAGGATATTAAGAGAATAGCAGTGAAAGTTGGTCCAATATCAATATAATTCTTCTAAATACGACATAGTATGAAGCTTCAGGTAATGTTGGGGTTCAAAAATTCAATTGTGCTTATTATTGTAATAAGCTTATTAAAAATGTTTCCAAATAATTCTTTAATCATATATTAATTAGCGAAGTAAAGTAAATTAATATTTTAATATTTTCTTATAATAACGTTATTAGTAAAATTAAGATTATCAATAAAATATATATAAATGTTTTGGCAAAGTTAATATAAGTAAAAATGCATTTAATATAAATATTTGCAAATTAATAAATGTTTATGACAAAGCTAGCAATTCGAAAAAGCTAAATCGTTTACACTAAAGAGAAAAATACAATTACAAGTGTGTATAATATTAATTTTCGCTGTTGGATAACTATACGGATTATTTACGCCATGACAATGAAATAACCGTTAACTTTCGTCGGTTCGGCTTCTAGTATGTGAATAGATGAAAGGACACCCTTTACAATAACAAGGCCTGGACCGCGAGATTGGTAATCGCTCTATTTACTGGCCTCACCGTTGTGTTGTTACGTGTCCATGAATTTCGTACGCCTCTTTAAAGACACATCTAAAAACCAGCTCTTTCGTTTTCGTTGCAGGATATACCTATCTCGGATCCTCGCTCGTTGTAGAACCGTCTGTAGCCAGCGCAGCAAAGAAACGGTAAGTTATGAAAATTTCGCCATTAAAAGCACGACGAAAGCATGGTTTTTAAATATGTTGAGAGAGAGAAAGAGAGAGAGAGAGAGAGAAAGAAACAGAAAAAGAGAACGAGACTCTAAATATATAATCTTTATGAAAAAGAACCAAGTGCTAATTTTTAAAAATATTTCCGGACTTTTTATAGATAGAAATTATCCAAAAAAAGAAGGAGATGTTGAACATTGTTTGTCGAACTTAATTTTTCGAAGTTTATATACATACGACAATTTTACGCATAATTATTCTGATAGTTATATAAAATGTCATGGTTAGTGTAACATTTTTTTTACGTTTACAGCGATCGTGATCAATTACAATAGAAATTCAAATTTTGTTTGAATTTTCATGTGTCACCAAGATCAGTTTTATTGAATTAACAAAGATTTTATTTTCTCATATTTTATTTGATCCATTGAAGAGAGATAGTGAGGTAGGTATTTCGAATACCTGGCCGATAACGCGTGATAATGAAAAATTCTGATTGCGTGTGTCGCGCGACTTAATATGTCATCATTTAGGAACTCTTGGTAAAATATACCGATCTCATGTCGTGCTCGCGTTACAGACCCTCGATCATTTAATAAAGCCACTAAAACCGCTGCGGTTGCAGTCACCGCTCCTTAACTGATCGTCGTAAATTTGCGCAATGCAGGAAGCGGCACGGACAGTCCCACCGGGATTTTTTTATTTATTAAAGCCGCATGCGATTGTCATCGAGAATTATCGAAATTATTTGGTCGTTACCGACTACCACCATTTCGGCGATTACCGTTCTCGCTATCAATATACGCATACCAATCGCACGTCTCCTCTCGAACATATTTCGCATTTAATTTCTCTCTTTCTCTCTCTCTCTCCCTCGCTCGTTATCTCTTCTTCTTTCCCTTTCCCTCGTTTTGCACTCGCGAGCGCACGCGGAACTTCAAAGGGTTCGTTAACCCGTGCCCGGTTGCACGCAGGCGATCGCAGGAGAGATCGGGCCGCGCGTAATACCGCGCGTAACAAGGTGCGTAATTGGCCGCACGCGAGTAAATGCGCGCGTGCGCGCATGCACAAGAGTTTGAACTCGTGCGCGAACGTGCCCGGGCAAAAATCGCCGGGGATTAAATCGCATCGTCGCAGTGAAAATCATTCCGCGTCCGTCTTCCGAGCTCGCGCGTTGCAAGACTTGAAAAGGAATTCATATACTCGATTCTTTATATGAAGTTTGTTAGAACTAATTAGTAAAAACAAACACTGCATACGGTTAGACGTCACATATTAAACCTTTCAAATTTTTCTGTAAGATCGTACGAATCGTCGTATTCGATCAATATTTTAATTACTTTAAAACTAGAATTCGCATCGTGTCAACTTAAATGCGGATTGTCATAAATCATTGAGGCGTATCAGAGTGCCGTCCGATTTGGAGCACGTGTTAAACGCGTGAGTAAAATCACTTTGAGTAGGGACAGCAGATGCAGTTTGATGCTGTCAGCATGCGTGTTGCGAATCTTCTACAATTCTCTGCAGCGATTTGCAAAAATTAATCTCGCGCAAAAGAGATGATCCAAAAATATATTTTACCGGACTTAATTGTTGAATTAACATTCGGATAGTTACACTATCGCCGTAGAATTGCTCTAGACTGTTGATAGCATTGTGTGTTCGTGTTATCATGCATGAAATATACTTAGAACACTATTTACACTCTCCACTGTTCTCTTCACATGCTCTCACGTGTACACGGATCGATGGTACGTATCTACATTATAAATATAATAGCAGTACGGTTTCACGTACGTCGATGATAACGGAGCGCCAAGAGCAGCGATACCATCATCAATTCGATATCATAAAGCGGTCGGCACTTTCGTCTGCCATAAATCGTAAATTTTCATACCTCGCGCGCGATAGATTGCTTATTTGACAAGCCAATATAATGGAGATAATCAGATATAACTCGCTATTTATCACTGAATATCTTGTGCACGTAGCGTAACCTGCATCGCTATTAATGTAAGTGACATAATAAATATCCCCTAATGAATTCGCATTAAAATACGAAATTCATACTTTAGGATCGGTATTATATCGATGAATCTGAAATGTCGATCATTAACATAAAGCTCTTAATTATTACGGGTAATATTTTTTATTAATAAAATCGATATCGTCGTAATGTACTTCTACTCTATTATAAATATCGAAAAGATAGCGGAGAAATAATGAAGCAATTTATGTAAAGACTTTTCCCGTTCGCTTTTATCGCAAGTAACATATGTAGATACTCAATTCCTCAAAAATTTCCGAAAATTTCGGCCGTAGTCACGTAAAAGAAACAGTTGACGAAAAAAAAATTCAGGTCTTTTCTCAATAAACAATGATTCTGTGTCGGAAGGATTAACCTAAATACTCGACGCGACGCGTTTTTGCGAGGCGCAGTTTGGGAGCCTCTACACAACGCCGCTGCAGAAGCAGTCTCTTTCCCGACGACGAGGCGAGCAATTCGAAAAAAAAGTGTGGCACCTGCCACTTCTGCTTGCGAGCTACGAGCCGAGAGAGCTCAGGCTGTTCGCTCGCTCGTGCCACAACTGCAATCTGTTATTTCACCATCCCCCGGACTCGCGCGCTCGCTTTCCGTTTCTCGTTCCATCCTTTCATCCCTTACGCACCGATACCGGCCGCCGCCGGCGCCGCCACCTCCTCTTTCTCCTTCTTCGCCACGTGGGCAGCTTGGAGCAGCCTTATCGATGTCTCGGCCGACGTGCCGCTGCATAAACCGAGAATTTGTCACTCGGCCAAATCAATACTCGGCCGATGAGATAACGCCAATTAAAAAACTTATGATGGATTATTTTATTTTGTCGAATGCAACGGATAACGTACGTCGCAAAGATACATCTTTTCTGATACATTTATTAAGTACACCTTGAGTACTGATGAATTCCAAAAGACATTTGTCTCTTATTTTTCTTCTCATTTTTTTTTTAATATGAAAAAAAATGGACAACATGTATTACAATAATTTATTCCAATTTTAGAAGATGTCTTTATTAAATAAGAAAAAAGCTTTGAGATGTATTAAACTTTAACATAGAATTTCTTAATTAATTTTTCAATGTAGCATTTGTACAATTCGAAGAAAACTATATCTTCTGTAAAAATTGTTTAAAAGTTATAGAAGTTCACGCAAATAGACTCGATTATTTCGAAACACGATTACACTATATATCTTCTTCATATGCTTACCTGTTTGAATTCTTTTGAGTGACGATTATAAATATATATTTGAGTGTAAATTAAATTCTAGTATTGCTATTGTCATACTGCTCGAATTTTAATATGAAAAGCACAGATAACACAACGATCTTCGCACGATCGTTTCGCGATCGTTATTACTACGCGCCGTGGGAGATCGTTATTCAAGGATGGACGAGCGGATGCCCGGCGAGGGAAGAGCAGAAGTTTATTATACACTCTATAGAAAGGGACGGAGACAGGGAAACGGGTATCACTTCCGAGTTGTCTTCTGCAATAGGTCGAAGACGCGGCTTCCAGCGGTGAGCTCGCTCGCCGTTTTTTGATGTTTAGGAGCCGATGCATGGCTAAACATTCATTTCCATATAAGCCGATATGTTTCAAATGTAAAGCGACGTCCGCGCACACCGGAGAGGTGGAGAAAGAAAAGACGAGGTGGATGAACGAGGGACGGAGGGGGGGTTAGAGGGGGTGAAAAAGAGAGAGGAGGAAGACCGCGTGGAAGCGGCGAACTGGTACGAGCGGAAACTAGTTTAAGCCCGCGGGTTGTCTCTCAACCCTCGGTCGAGCCTTCGACAATGCCCTCCATGGGATCTACCGTGCTCCCAATTCCGTCCACTTTAACTGCCTCTGCCCCGCCGTCGATTCTTTCTCTCTTTCTTTCTCCCTCTCTCTCTCTCTCTCTCTCTCTCTCTCTTTCTTCCTCTCTTTCTCCCCTTACGCCCGTAAGTAGCCCCCGCGAGTGTGAGAACCGACCGGAAAATGCCTAACCCCGTGACATAAACGCGTCTAGTCTTTGGTTTGCCTTTAATCCCTTTGCGCGTAACTGAAAGTGATTGAAAGAATCTTAAAAAATGACTTGCATTTAAAAAATTTAATGTAATCAGTTGTAATAATAAATGATTATATGATGCTTAAAAAAATCGTAATAAAAATGTGATAATGTTCACTCGAGCTATATATACGGCATCTTTTTTTTATTATTTTAACTTTGAGACGTTTAAGTTTTAAATATCTTATGTTTAAGCGTATTACGGGGTCCAATCAAATAATTGACAAGAACTTAAATTGTCATACTTAAATTAACGAAGTTTTATTGCTAGTAAAATTTTCTTCCGTAATTATATATCGAACATATTGATTTATTTAGAAGATTTTTTTTAGATTAATTGTACTTACACGCCTACGACATAGTTTGAAAACAGCAGAACATCGAACGCATCCTTTCCTTTTCGCTCGTTCTTCGAGAGTTTCGCCTTAAAGAGTGACGAAATTCGCGTGTCTACTCAAGAAAGTGTCCGCCGGACATGTTTGCGGCCTGTTGACGCGTATGCATTGACAACCGCACGTTACGATTCTTCAACTCGGCGCGTGGAATCGTTCGCAGGTATCATTTGCCGCATATGCCAGACGAAAGTGCGACCGCAAGACTCGCCCCCGTGCATCGGCCGCGAGAAAGCACGTTCCACTTTGCGGTGCATCTGTGCACGTGCAATGTGCATTATTCCGTCTTTGCGTGCGGTACTCATTCACCACGCCAGACAGAGGTCGGCCGGAATTGCATACGAGCGGGCGACAGCTTGAAAACATATAACGAAACTATTAGTAACAACACCGGACGAGCTTATTCTGTTTTTTTTTTTTTTCAGTTATCCCTCGGCTCGTTGGAATTGTACTACTTTGCTAGCCTATTTTTTTATAACTTTTACAGAAAATAGATTACGCAATGGCTCTCCTAACGATAAAATTACAGTGTAAAATGAAAAAAATATTCTTAATAGAATATAAAGTATTCTTGTCAAAGTAAATCATTCCTATACTTACAAAATTATCCCAAGAAGTTTTTTTTAAATCCTGCTGCATGTTATTTAATCGTTGCATCGTTAAAATTTTTAAAATAATATTTTGAAAATTATTTTTAAATATATAAGAAATTTCTGAATTTTCAAATTAGTCTAAACAATTTTCAAAACGAACAAAATTTCTGAAGATAACGATACGCCAGTCTCCTCGAAGGTCTGATTGATTAATAACGAAATAACATAAAAAAAGCAAAACTTAGTTTGCACACCGACATGCTCTATGAGCATATCTTCACTTAAGATTAATTAATTCCGCGAGTGTTGACAGTTGATCTTGGACGACACGTGTACCACTCGACCCCAAGAAACATTGCATCTAGCGCTCTTAAAAGAGTCATTCGAGCATATACCGGTCGTCAACATGCCCGAAAGTATGTGTGCACCGCTTGCATTTCCGCATAACTTCGCGCGTGCGCGCGTACGACTGCACTTTTCTCATTTACATGACAAGGCCGCTGCACCTCGCGACGTATGAGGTCGACGCAGGTTGCACGATATATATATATATATATATACATATATACATACACCAAGGGGGAGAAAAGGGGTAGCGGGCCCCCCTGCGGCTAGTGCAGTCCAGTAAGCAGCACGAATGCACTTTGCACGATGCACCCCGGGCACTCGAAGCAATGCACGCCGTTCGGCCGGGCGGACTCTCCACCTCCTGCCATAAATTCGACCGCGAACACGTTCGCGTAATAAAAAGGGAGACGGGGGGCACATCGTCCTGAGGCGCATCTCTCGCTCTCTTTACGATGCATCTCGGTCGATTTCTCTTGTTCTTTTCATCCGTCTACCCTTTTCTGTCTCTCTTTTCCTTTCTCTCTCTTTCTCTCCTTCCTCTTTCTCACGTGAATCGTTGCACTCGGCGCGTGCCGATCTCGTGCCCTCTCCGCCTGCTGTATCCCCTCCTTCGCCATGCATTTAATTCCATCGCTTCTCTCGTCCTTCTCCACCCCTTTCTTCGACTCACCCCAACTCCTCACCTCGGTCGGCTCCGAGCGACCGAAATGCATCCAGCATGCACTTGTTGCGCCGATGCACACAGCCGGCTGTGTTACTAATCTCTTTTTTTGCCGAGTGCAACTGCTTTTGTACTTCTAATTTCGCCACTGCTCTCCGTTATATTTCTTCGTACTGTTTTTAATTATTTTAACAGTACGTCAGCATTCATCTTCCTTTTGCGCTTTAAGATCTTTATATCGTATCTTATCGTAAATACATCGCAAAATTATTCCTCTTTTTTGTATCATCTATTGTCTATCGCGAACGATGAAAAAAGAAATTTATATTAATAATAATTAAATGTCCGCCATTGTGTTTTGTATTAATTATATTTTATCCATTGTTATAAATCAGAAAGAAGAAAAAGAGAAAGAGACTTGATATTATTATATTTTAAATTAATCGACACAATAATATCTTGAGTATAACATTTCTAGAGAGATTGAATCAAGATTTAGAAGTAACACTATTATATACACCATTGAACCTTACACTTATAAGATTTATCTATCTTCTTTAATAAAAGAAGGTCATTTTTTTCTTTGTCTTGCCTTCCCTTTCAAATGCAAGGCGCAATGGCGGTGTGTCTTGTCACGATAAAGCGAAAGTAAAACGATACGCGCGGTTCCGCCCGGTAGGATCTCTTCTTCCGACGTGTTTGCTCAAGGTATATCTTCCTACGAGCCTCGAGGGACGACGTCCCGAGAGGAGGAGCTCTCCCGATACGCGGGAGAGCCCTGTACGTGCAGCTGCGTCCACACACACGCCGTTAGCACGCGCTTATCTCGTCGCGCCTCTCATA